AGTTGTGTATTTGTGTTATGAATAGAAAGAGGTTGAAGATAATAGCAATCATCAATATTATGGGGAAACATTCATGAATACTAAAATAATCACTTTAATGAATAATGATTCATAGATGAAAAAAGTACTATTAAAAGTTGTGTATTTGTGTTATGAATAGAAAGAGGTTGAAGATAATAGCAATCATCCCTATTATGGGGAAATATTCATGAATACTAAACAAAAGTATCTTTGAGGATGTACTCTTGTCTTGTTCATACAAGGAGGTTGAATATCATCGTAATCATCACTTTAATTAATAATGATTCATAGATGAAAAAAGTACTATTAAAATATGTGTATTTGTGTTATGAATGGAAAGAGGTTGAAGATAATTTCAATCATCCTATCACGTCTATTATGGGGAAATATTGATGAATACTAAAAGAAAGTATCCCTGAGGATGTGCTCTTGTATTCTTCATAAAAAAAGGTTGAATATCATCTTAATCATCATTTTAATGAAAAGTGATTCAAAGATTAAAAAAGTACCATTCAAAGATGTGTATTTGCTTTATGAACAGAAAGAGGTTGAAGAAAATTGCAATCATCCCTAATATGGGGAAATATTCATGAATACTAAAAAAAGGATAATTGAGGATGTGCTTTTGTATTCTTCATAAAAAGAGGTTGAATATCATCGTAATCATCATTTTAATGAAAAGTGATTCATAGATCAAAAAAGTACTATTAAAAGATGTGTATTTGTATTATGAATAGAAAGAGGTTTAAAATAATTGCAATCATCCCTATTATGGGGAAATATTCATGAATACTAAAAAAGGATCATTGAGGATGTGCTCTTGTATTCTTCATAACAAGAGGTTGAATATCATCGTAATCATCACAAGTACCATTAAATGGTGTGTATATGTGTTATGAATAGAAAGAGGTTGAAGATAATTGCAATCATCCCTATTATGGGGAAATATTCATGAATACTAAAAAAAGGATCATTGAGGATGTGCTCTTGTATTCTTCATAAAAAGAGGTTGCATATCATCAAGTTGAAGATAATTGCAATCATCCCTATTATGGGAAAATGTTCATGAATACTAAAAAAAGGATCATTGAGGATGTGCTCTTGTATTATGCATACAAAGAGGTTGATTATCAACGTAATCATTACTTTAATTAAAAATGATTCATAGATCAAAAAAGTACCAATAAAGGTGTGTATTTGCATTATTAATAGAAACAGGTTGAAGTTAATTGCAATCATCCCTATTATGGGGAAACATTCATGAATACTAAAAGAAAGTATCATTGAGGATTTGCTCTTGCTTTTTCATTAAAAAAAAGGTTGTAGATCATTATAATCATCAGTTTGAGATGACTTGGTAATTTAAGCTATATGATGATCTTGAAAGATCTATAAAATAAAGTACGATCATCACTTTATGATGATTTGAAATGGTATAGAAAGATTAGAAAAATTTACCATTGAGGATGTGCACTCGAACTGTGGCTGAGTTGGCGTTGGATGGGGCGCAGGTGTAGAGTCCGGAGTCCGACGGTATTGCCCTCTGGATGAGCAATCTGCTGGTGGTGGTGAGTCCCTTCTCGGTGACGAGGCTGATCCCACCGCGCGGCGTATCGAAGGTGATCACCTGTGAGTTATGGGACCAGAGCATCAGGGGCGGCGGTTCCGGGGCGTACTGAACCAGACAGGTCAGATTGATGGTGGAGCCCATGTTGATGAACAGGTCTGCTCCACCCAGTATTTCGGTTATCGGTTCTGCAACAAATATTTATTCCATAAACAACAACAGCAACTACGCAGCAGCATCGACTTGGAACAGTAATGGAATTAATGCTGCAGGCGGTTAGTTTAGGTAGAATATCGTACAAATATTGGCGTTGTTATTGGATCTCGGTCATATAATTGTTATTAAATTGTACAGTAATATCATAAAGAAACAAATGTTGGTTTTGCCTCACGAAATATTCACCAAACTTGTATTCTGAAAATAGAATAATTGTAATAAAAATAATCGTGTTACTTAGTTCTTTCAGTTTATATAAGAAATAATTACAATAAAAGTATGTTGAAGGTTAAAATGTTTGTTGTTGAATTTATTTGCTAAATGTAATACATTTTTTTGGTCAAAATGGGAGAATTTTATTTTTACCCTAGTTTATTATTTTGTGTTTATGTAAATAGATAAAAATCCTATAAACAGATTCATACCTCTTCAATTTATATGATGCATAAATATACTATAAAATGCGATTTGATTTTTGATTGCGTAATCTTATTTTAACATAACGAGATTTATTTCTGAGCTTTTATACGTACATCTATAGGAAAGTCGAATTCAATACAGATTTTAATACAATTTTGTAGAAAATTTCCAATAATAAGTCAACTATGAGATTTTCAGTATTAGATTTTTTAGGCAATAGAAAACTTGGTTGGGATAATTTCGTTTTCATTTCTTGTTTTTTTTTTTTGAAAAATATAGTAA